CTTCGCAAAATTTCGGGCCTATTGGAAAACTTCCACCTTTCTAAGGTGCCCTCACAGAGCCCCACTTTTTGAAAGCCCCACCCACTTCGCGTAGGGCCCGCCCATTTTCATGTAAATGCCTCAAATTAACTGGCTAGAGTCTCAATTATCATGGCAAAGTCTTTCTCGTCGCTTGGAACAAAAACCAAATGACCTAGGTCTTGGTGCGAACGCTGCGTAGGTGACATCATCTGCAACACCTTTTCGCATTATAAATTTAGAGAAGCATACAGTATACAGTATCCAAAAGTACGCGTAAAACTAAGTGCATTTGACCAGCGAGTGCATACAGTACCCTCAGTTCTCGCCGAGGTGACACCTGGCCACAAGTGGAGAGCGGATGTAGCGCCGCTCTCTATGATACAGCACAACCTAGCTGAATTACCTCGAAATTATGTAACCAAATTGGCTCATGGCACGCCCAACTGTATACATTAACAAAATTGACGCATCTAATTTCACGCGCAACTTCCGGGTACTGTATGCCGTTTGTTTTCCTGAACCTGTCATCTTTACTTTTTGGCCGCGCTTTCGCGGCGTAGATATGACGAACTGGACCCGTACCCTTTTCAGGTTGTACCCCCGGAAATACTGCAGTAGCCGAAGAATATGGCCAATTGTTGTCGAAATACAAATTCGAAAAAAGAAAGGAAAAACTCACCTCCATGACCTTGTTCTTAGTGACATTGGCCCATGTGAAGTACATCATTTCATTGCTGTTAACCGTCTTCATTTCATGGCCCTTCTGTCCGAACGTGACAGGTACCTGAATTTTGGAGGCTGCCCCTTTTGATGGATTATGAGGTTAAAACCGCTGAAACATGAAAGATAAAAGCGAGGCGCTGACGTAGTTGAAGAGGAAGGTCCACGGTTTCTTGCCGCCCCCTCCTTCTGAGATTAAGCCTTTGAAGACCCTAGAACAGTGCAGGCGGCCTAAGAGCGGCCTTCCCTCGCCGCGTGCTCCCTTTCCTAACTACTTCAGCTCTTCAATCAAAACCTAGTGGCGCGATGCGGGATAAGAACTCACCTTGAGACTGTTCATGACACACACCGGTGCCATTCCTTGTTGGAAAGGCGACAGATGGATGGCAACCGACGAATCAGACGTGGTCACACATACTTCAATACCGACTTGTTCATTGTCAATCTAAACAAAAGAGCTTTAGAAACAGGGAATCGGGAATTCCCCCAAAAGAACTCACATGACAAAGCGTCTCGAAATTCTCCGTGATGGGGAACAGTATTGACTCCTCCTGTTGTCCTTTATATCTTGCGCACAGGAACTTTCGTTTCGCACTCTGTTTCGGCCAAATGCCCACACACTAGAAACAGCACCATAAGTCGTAAGTCATACAGCAAGACAAAATGAACGAACTGAGGAAGGTATATGCGTGCGGATAACGTTTTTCTCACTATTCATAAGTACCGTTCAAACTCCCCCGTCCCCACCGATTCCCAG